TATAAGCACTAACTGGAAATTCGAATGAAGAGATTCAACGGACCTACCTGTTTACAAAGGGGATTCGGATTAGCCAAAATGTGATTGCACCAGAATGCATAAGAGTGACGAGCAAAGCATAAGTAAATGAAGTCAGATCAGCCCCGCTGCAAGAGCTAGCGGATGCGGGCTCTAGAGGTTCAGATCGACGAAGTAATGTTGACCAGGATGTCTGCCAAGCACCAATATCGGCCAGGGCATCCATATATTGTCCGACAGTATCACACCAAAATACGTCTCCATCGGGATTGGAAACCAAAGTCTGAAATATAACATTTTTAATCAATCACTTTACTTGCAGATCTTCTAAGCTCATAGAAAGTAAAATAGATTTGTTGAAGCATATTCTCGATAATGAAAGGACATGTCTATTAGACTATGAATAACAGCCTCAAAAATAAATTTATAAAGACACCGTATTTAATGTAAGGTATAAAGACCAGGATGGTGTGGTCTTTTGTATGATCGCGGTCTCCTTTTGTTTTATAGTTGTTTGAACTTGTTTGGCAACTTGATCATATTGGCCTAGATTCAAGACTCACTGACGATGCCAGCGAAACGTCTGGAAATGTACCAAGTCCAGGGTACGACTTAAAATTATCAAGCATACTATGGACTCCTGACCAGGTGCGCTTGTCCAGGTCTTCTTGCCAATATGACCAAGCTGTGAAAACAAGGCGAAACAACATCTATACACCGTATTTAAATTCAATGTTAAGATATAAGTGAATCAATTAAAAAATAGTGATAATGGGCGACTCATATGTTACGAAAGGATGAACCCTTCTTGATCGAATGGATTACCAACCTCAGGATCATAGTCTTCAGGGAGAACAATACAAGGAGTAAAATTGACTTCGGAATCAGATAATAAGGAAGTTGAAATAGGATTAAAGCTGTTGGTTATGCGCCCGAATCTGATGTAATAGTTTTGCCAAACATTAGTAATGTCCACCAACTGAAAGGAAGTCAGGTATGGATTATTTATAAGGAGGTTAAATACCTAAAATTAAAAATTGCTTATTCATAAGAAT